TGCAATGAGCCCCTCGGTTTAATCACATGTTGTGAGACAGAATATTTCTTTTTGGTGCCTCTGTATAAGTGGTTTACATTTCCCCCTCTCCTTGGCATTATCAGCATTCAGTTTCATCTGCCTACTGTTCCCCATTCCCGCAGCCTGGGAAGGTCTCCCTGAAGTTCCTCGTAGACTGCTCAGATCCTGGCTAAACTAAATAACTTTCTGTCATCTGCAAATTTTGCTACCTCATTGCTCACTCTCCTTTCCAGATTGTTGATTAATACATTTAAACAACCCAGGACTTAGTTTGGAACCTTCAGGCCTGCTGTTTTGTAATGATGGGAATTGACCATTTATTCCTACCCTTGACTTTCTGTCTGCTAGTTTTTGATCCATGACAGTACTTGGTCTCTTATCCATGACTACTTAGCTTTTTTAGTAGCCTCTTGTGCAGGACCTTATCCAGGGGTATTTTGGAAGTGAAAATCAATTGTCATCAGGTTCTCGTTTATATCCACTGCATTACTGACACGTTTAAAGAATTCGGAGAGATTAGTGAGGCACTAGTCTCCATTGCTGAAACTATGCTGGTCAGACTCTGCCATATCCTGATCTTCCAGGTATTTCATTATTCTGGTTTTTATGATAATTTTATCCAGTTTGCCGGGTACAGATACAAGGCTGGCTGGCATGCACCCATAGAACCCATTTCAAATCTAAGAACATTTGCTACTGTCAAAGTTAGATTCAGGACTCACAATATGCTCTGTTTATTAGCATAGCGCACTGCTAATACACTCAGATAATGTGAGCACCATGCAAGACCCACACTAGCTTATTTTATACAGATAAAAAGGGCGCGAATTTAACAAGAGGACAAAGAAAGCAGAACTGACAAGTTTACCTGAGGCTAGACATACATGTTCAATTTCCTTACTAACTTTTACAGATCTCCAGTGAATGTTCCACCATTAGCTTAAGTGGACTCATTGTTTATGCCTTAATGTTTCTTTTCCTGACACCTGTATTTCAACATTCCTTCTTTCTGCCTAAAGGTACATACAGCATTTCTTTAATCCATTCTATTTTTACATTTTTTTTTAAATATTTTTTCATTCTACTTTCACACTACCCTCCACTCTTCTGGATCATCTGCCATTTGCTTTGGAGAGAGTCCAGCGGAGGGCAGCGAAAATGATTAGGGGGGCTGGGGCACATGACTTACGAGGAGAGGCTGAGGGAACTGGGGTTATTTAGTCTGCAGAAGAGAAGAACGAGGGGGGATTTGATAGCAGCCTTCAACTACCTGAAGGGGGGTCCAAAGAGGATGGAGCTCTGCTGTTCCCAGTGGTACCAGATGATGGAACAAGGAGTAATGGTTTCAAATTGCAGTGGTGGAGATCTAGGTTGGCCATAAGGAAATACTACTAGGAGGGTTGTGAAGCACTGGAATGGGTTACCTAGGGAGGTGGTGGAACCTCCATCCTTAGAGGTTTTTAAGAACCGGCTTGACCAAGCCCTGGCTGGGATGATTTAGTTGGGGATTGGTCCTGCTTTGAGCAGGGGGTTGGACTAGATGACCTCCTCAGGTCTCTTCCGACCCTAATTTTCTATGGTTCTATGCTTTTCACCAAGGGAATGGAAATCAGTTTGGATACAAAGAGTAAAAAGCTGAATATCCTCAAGGTTCAGAAATACTGTCTGTTAAAAAAGAAAAATGGGTCACATTTGATATTAAGGTTTTATTTATAAAGGGTTAATAAATAAGCAGATGTTATACGCTTGCTACAAACGTAAGTAGTGGGTGTTGAAGATAGTTAAAAGCCACTTATTGACCTGTTGGATTATGTAACAAGTGATTAACCATTTATTAAAACATCTAATAATCATTTATTAATCCTTCATAAACTATTTGTCAATGGATCCTTAATATAAAGTGTGACCAAAGGCTGCAAAAAGTGCTGTAGAATTTAATAATGAAGAAGAATCTTTCTATGCAGTTTTCAAACAGACCCATAAAATGCTACGTAGCAGGGGTATAAGTCTCTGAGAGTCTCTATTAGATGGCTTCAAAATTCTACAGAATAGATCTCATGTTATTATTTCTATTCCAGGAATGCTTAGAGGCTTCAATGTTAATTCAGGCTCCATTGCGCTAGGCACTGTACAAAGACATAGGGCTTGTTTTCACGTACAGCGCTACAATGGCTCAGCTCCACTGGTGCAGCCGCTGTAAAACACCCGAGAGGGCTTCTCCTGTCGGAGTAGTTCATCCACCTCCCTGAGAGGCGGTAGCTGTGTCGGTGGGAGAAGCTCTCTCGTCAACATAGCGTGTTTACATGGGGAGTTAGGGCGGCATAACTGCGTTGCTCAGGGGTGTGAATTTTTCACACCCTTGAGCTACATGGTTATACCAGTGTAAGTATATAGTGTAGACCTGGCCATAGTAACATACAGTCCCTGCCTGGGAGAGCTTAGAATCCAAGGGCAGGCTTTACCAAGGTATTTAGGCGCCTAATGCCCATTCATTTGAAATCAGTAGGAGCTAGGCACCTAAATACCCTGGTTAATCCCACCCAAATAGACAAAGCAGACAAAGGAAGGAGGGGAAATGGAGATGAAGTGACTTGCCCAAGGTCATGTAGCAGGTCAGTGGCAGAGCTGCGAATAGAACACAGGTCTCCTGAGCCACCCTGTCTAGTACCCGTGCCCTGTCTGCTAGTCCCTGTCTAGTACCCATGCCCTGTCTACTAGCCCACACTGTCTCCCCATCCATAGAGTTAAATTTTCTATTCAATTTCATTGGCCTAGCCCAGCGAGCGGAAGGTCTGCTTGAGGTTCGTGCCATTGGCAGCGGCAGCTTTCTCCAGTGGGACAAGGCTTCTTGCTCCACACCAGTCATCAAAGCTGGCTCTGAGCAGAGGAGAGGGAGGCCATGCTGCGCCTTGGAATGTCCCAGGCTCCTTCTGGGGACACTGATACCCATTCAAGCGCCGGCAGTGCACTTCCACACGCACCCCTGCAACTTTAAGGCATGATCTAAGCCCTATATTCTCAGGTCACGTTGCAGCAAAGAACAGAATTGCCCATCCACAAAGCCTTTTGCTGTTCCTGGCTCCCAGGAGAGTCCACATCACTCGAGATGATTCAGGACCCTTGAGAGTGACTGGGATGAAGCAGAAGAAAATGAATATTTCAGTAAATGAGCCATACCTGCGGCAGAACCCGGGTAGTGTCATCCAGTGCAATCCGCATGGATGTTATTTTGGGTTCATTGAGGCACTGAGTAATGAGCATTTTTGCTGCTAATCAGATTGATAAATAAGGCGAATTAAAATCTTTGGTTTGCTCTCAGCAGAAGTCTCCTAAATTGAGTGTTTTCATCTCACTCGGGCGAGAGGAGGCAGATTTGCTTAGCAGTCATCATGAATAATTACCCCAGTTAGGATAGGGGTGGGTTAGAAGCCAGTTTTTTTTTTCTCCATACTAATCCTAATCATTTAACTAAATTAATTGCTTCCAAACAGATGCCCAAATGTGTCCATCGCCTAATCCCCTGGACAAGGAGCTACTTGTCACCAATCCTTATGCAGTTTCTTGTTCTAACTTTCTAGCCATTAATCAGTGATTCCCAGTGTCTTTGGGCGATGATGCCTATTTACCAGAATAATACCTTGGCTCACTTGCTGTCCATCACCAAGACCCCTGCATATTTGACCCTGTGGATCAAATGGTGCAGAAGGCCCTGTGTAAGGACACTCTTACCCTGTGGGAGGCAGGCATGGATGGGCGAGTCTAGAATGCCAATCAAAGGAGCCGGTGTGCAGTGTGTGGGAGCCATCACACTGGTGGAGAACTAGCGTGGACCGGTTCAGGTGCTGCTGCATCTTGTGGGTGTACGTGGGCTATGATTTCCTCGTCTCCTCTGGGTGGGTAAAATCACGTCTGCGCCCAGCTGCTTGTTGAGAGAGCGTAATTAATCTAGAAAGACGTGGCTCTGTGCCAGGAGGCCTTTTTAATTAAAAGAGGTTGGGGCATCCGAGAATCTCTATTAAACCTGGCGTCGCCATTGAAGTCGTGGAGTGTGTGTGTGTCTAAATGTGGATGGCGGAGGGGAGAGCGTCATGCGTCATCTCAGGACAGAATGTGATTTTGCTTGCTAACGTCTCTAGAGGGGGAGGGGGTGGCCTGTGTCACAGACCTCTGGGGCCACGTACAGCTCCCCGTTGCAATCGTGTGACTTTTCCTGTGTTCCTGCTGACTTTGAAGGGATGTAGGGGGTGAAGCTGGTTGCTCACACAGCTCAGGCATAGCTTGTTACAGTTGGTACTAACGGGGCAATGGGAGCCCGTGCCTTGAACAACGCTGGCAGAATGCTCCTGCCCTGCCTGGCCCTAAGCTCGGGGTATAGGTCCTGGAAGGAGGAGTAGCTGAACCAGCCTTTTGGGCTGGGTCCCAACATTCCTTATCGCCTGGCTCAGAGGCGTATGTTTGCTCACGGGGTGTGGGAGGATGGGTGGGTGGGTGTGTCTGCTTCTCTCCCACTGGGGTGTGCAGGGCCAATGTCCGTCCACAACGCAAATTTCCCCGCTCATCAAAGTCCTGGTAAAATGTGGTACGCACCCGCTCCTTTACTGGAACCTTTCATGGCAGCATCTTCCCAGTGTTTTGCTTGAAGGGCTGCACACTTCCGACGTGTCCTTCGTTATTTCACTAGGTCACTGGAGGCTGCCGGCATAGCACTATTTGGGTTTTTATACTGCACCCGTCACCATGGTATCTGAGCACCTGAGGTGTCACGGAGGTGGACAAATGGGCTCCACTCGTCATGCTGTTTGGTGGCTTGTTAGATGAGCTTTAACCTAGGGGAAGCATCTGTTTCCCGTCATTCAGGTGGCCCCTTTTCCTCCATGTATCTGAATGTTTTTGCTGGGAGCGGGATGGGTGAGCCTGGTCCTAGGCCGGGCTCTGTGTCTCATCCCACCCCATCTCATCCATGTTGCTTTGTCCCCTAGCGGCTGGAGTGAAGGATGTTCTCCTCTGGGAAGCCCTACGAGAATCAGCACTTCTCGGCCCTGAAGAAAGACTGCCAGCGGCAGAAGGTGCTCTTTGAGGACCCGCTCTTCCCCGCCACTGACGACTCCCTCTTCTACAAGTCACGCATTCAAGGCATCCAGTGGAAACGTCCGAATGTAAGTGAGGCTCGAATGTCCTCCCTGTGCACATCCTTGTGCTGCTCCCCTGGGGTCACACCTTAAAAAGCAAATAACTCTGCTCCCCAGCGCGCTATCTGCCATAGGTACCCTGTTACCATAGTATCTGAGCTCCTCGCCGGCTCTAATGTATCGATCCTCCCAGCAATTCTGGGAAGTAGGGCTGTGCTATTATCCCCATTGTAGAGATGGGGAACTGAGGCACAGAGAGACTTGCCCAGGGTCACACAGGAGGTCTGTAGCAGAGCAGGGAACTGAACCTGGGTCGTTTGACTCTCAAGCTGGCCCGCTAATCACTGGATTACCCTTCCTTTACCTTCGCTTTCTGCAAGAGCCTCTGTTCTTGTACATTGCTTGTGTGCGCTCAGAGCAAGGGAGATGTTTGAAGGGCAGCATGACTTGTGGCGTGACAGTGTGTCTAGTGGTTGAAACACGAGGCTGGGAGTCAGGACCCCTGAATTCTACAGGCCACATCCCAGATACCGGCAGCTCCCATTGGGAGCGGTTCTGTTCCACTGAAGTCGATGGGAGTTTCGGCATTGTCTTCAATGGCAGTCCCATCTGGCTCATTGAAGCCAATTGGAGTCGCAGGTGTTCAGGATGTCTGCTCCTTCCTCTGCCACTAACTCAGCACATGACCTTGGGCTTGTCCCTCAATGGTGACTTGTAACCGTAACTCAACTGTGTTTGTAAAGTGAATGTAATAATAGTTCTAAGCTATAGGCGGGCTCGATGTTGTTGCTAATTCTCTTAGGGACTAACTGATGTTTGCAAAGTGCTGCTAAGATGCTAGTGGTTGGGTTTTATTTATTTGGTTTTGGAGGATTATCATGCAGTCCCAACCCCTTATTTAATGGCTTGTCAGCTGCAGCAGCCTCTGTCCCAAAGGTCTCCCAGAGATTCCTGTAGCTCTGGACTTTACCTGCTGGTCCCCTTCAGGCGCTGTTTTCCCTCTCTGCTCCACATGCAGCAATAGCCCCAGAGATGCCTACACACCACAGAGATGGATGGGTTGGAAATACACAGAGAGATGGGG